GTGCAAGAAACATTTTAAGAGAGATTTTGTATTTAAGTAGCAAAGATCACGGACCTTTTTCAAGTATTATATGCACCTGTATTATATGCAGTTTACGGCAGGGGTTGCCGAATTAAATAACAGAAAAAATCTAAAAAAGACGCTAGCATTTCCAGCGAGAGGATAAGAGTGGCCAAAAGAGAAAAACTAGAGAATATAACAGGCTTAAACACGAGTTGAAAATGACTTCTCTTTTTAATTTTCTACGCTTATCAGAGGAGTTTGAAACGTTAGGGAAAAACGGTGGGGCAAGCAGTCATACCTGGAAACTCCAAAAGAAGCTATAAGAGAAGCTCCTACGATTCTGACGTACACGTGAGATCAGTTGGTCCTGCATACTCTTCAATCGACCGGCGATGTCTTAAAGTGAAGTAGTTAACCGTCATTTCTTTCAATTTTGGCTCATTTTCCCAAACAGAAATTATCAGTCATGCTCAATTGAAAGTAGTTTCAACTGATGCTGACATCATAAACTTCATCCGAAGAAGAAAACATTCCTTATCTGCGAAATTATGCTCAAAACATTAGGAACAGTGATGAAGGTCCTTAGCTGCTCGAAAATACCGCATGCGTTTTGATCGCTAGCAATCTTGGTCCCTAAATCCCCTTGAAGAAAATCATCGACAGTTAGTGCTGAAGAGTTTTACTGCATTTTTTATTATAGCGAGGGGCTGGAAAATAAACTAAAAAGGCTCCGCTTTTAGGCTTGGCTAAATATATATATGTATATTATGTTAAATTTTCACGCAACGCTTTCATCGACACAACAACGCCTGGGGGATAAGTTTCCATATAAGTTGATTCGGCCTATTGGCTTATACTGATGAACCGGAATTGGCTGAACCGATCAGAAAACCAGAAATGTAATATCCAAAACCGATAATTCAATAATAGTTATTCAGCTTAGCTTGCCATCAGTATAAAATAAAGTGGCGAAGCTGTATTTGGTCAAAACTAGCTACGGTTTCCACTCACATTATACAGATTTTAATCCCTGATTGACCTGAATTAATTGTTTTAAGTGATATATCTTGGTGAAAACCTCTGCCTTGTGCTTCTGCTCTGCGAACATTTATTTTACCGAACAACAGAATGAAAAAAAATTGAAAATTGTACATTTCATGTATTTTATTATGCATATTTCTTTGGAATTGATCAATTTAGAAACAAATAACAACCCCTCATAGCCAAATTAGGTAAATAGTCCTGTATTTGTTTGAATAAAGAGTTTTACAGTTTTATTAATATGGTACATATCCTTCACATATCCGCTAAACACGAAGACAGTCAAAAATAGTTCCTTGTTTTTGCCCATAAATGATTCAACTTGTTTCTTCCGCGGTGTGGAACTTGAAATAGGTAGGACAGGAGAGGTGAGAGTTTATATGTGTATCACATAATTTTATTGAGAGGTTTGAAACACCTGCAATTCTCTTGCATAGGCAAAACTTTAAGAGTTCATGGATACTGACACCGAAAAGGTTTTGTAGGGGTCTCTCCGGTCTGGCCAAAAATTGAAACTCAAAAGCCTTCTTAAAAGCCTTCTTCTTCTTCTTTCCTTCTCTTTGAAGTATGGATCCGCGCCAAATATGAAGATGATACCTGCATTGATGCAGTTTTGTCTCGATTTAGAGTTTGAGTCAGAGAACGAAAAGGTGCATTCATCATTGACGTTTAAAGGATATTTTACCTAAAAAATGAAAAGATTGGTTGATCCGTATTGGCAGCAACGCGAAGCATGTATGTGTACAACCAAAAAGCCCAATAGACAGGTAATAACAACGCTTTTCTAAGAGAGATTAACAATGAGGATCAAAATGGAAATGAAAGCGATATAAAACGCACCAACGAGAGCAAACGAACCAGCTGTATATCATTTGACATTCGGGTTATCACTTTACGGCATCACTTGACGGTTTTTATCTTCGTCCGTATTGGCATTGCATTTCTTCGGCCTTCCTTCGCATAGGAAATTCCTGTCGTTTCTGGCCTTACAAGGTATGTACAGTGACCTACTTTTGATTAGTCTTGTCTCTAAACATACAAGTAGCTAAATACGAGCATACATGACAACGCATTGGCATCGGAAAGGTAAGGAAATAGGTTCAATCGGATGTGAATAATGATTGTTCGCATTTACATCTTAAAAGTCATATCTGACTTTAGTTTATTTTGTTGGCAAGAAGCTTAAACTCACGAGGTAAACAGTATGAATTGAAATACGACACAGACAGCTAGCTGAGTGCGTTAAAATTTTTCGCGCTAACATTAAGGAGATGTAGCGGATATATAGGGGAACAGCTGTTAAGTAATTTTTCGCTTTAGCTCGCACTAAGAATTAGATAGAGTGACAAGGAATTGTTTCGACAAAATTAACGAACGTATTTAATTTTAGCAGACAGGTTTTTACGCATTTGATTGACAATTAAACAAGGAATATGAAAGGTGATCTATCATTACAAACACATCCGTTTTGCTTAGCGAATATTCATTTTACCGCTTGGAACGGAAAATAAAGATGAAAAACAAAAACAGTCTAGAAACAGGTATATTACTCGAAAACAAAACAAAACAGAAAGACCTGGGCTGGAAAAACTGAGTCGCTTTCTATCAAAAGCACCTATCAAAATATTTGTTTTTCACAATGAAAGGTATAAAACTAATTTAAATAATCGTTAACATCTTAGGTAAATACTAATGCATTCAATCATTGCAGAAAAGGTTTTTAAGTTTCAGCAATACTTTCTACATTCTTCAATAGTCACGCCAAAGACTGAGAACCGAAACAAATGATTCCTCCCTTGCTGTAGTTTGCGTCTTCAGTACGGAAAAACCTTAAATAGTCAGGTAGAATTACAGTAGTAGACTTAAGAAAGCATTTATGATGATTTTTTTTTTCGGCGCAGACGGTTACTCGTGAAACATTTCACTTCAGGCAGCTGGCGTAACCTGGTCAGAGGCTCCCACATGCAACATCAAATAACCTTATTTGAATGCTCTTCGATTTTATAAAATGATAAGGCCTGGAAAGTCTGCAGGGTCACTCTTTCAATAAAATATCTCTAAAAGCCTTGAAATGACCTATTGAGGTTGTGGATCTGAGCAAATAAAAAATGCCTGCAAATGGACACCTCTCGAAGGGACTGGAACCTAAAACCTGAAGTGGAAATACCAAAAATTTCATTTAAATGACTATTCTTCGTAATAGATAGGACGATGCAATATTTCCTCGAAAATCGCTTTTTATGCCATGCCAAAGGCGTCTTCGCTATAATCACACGACTCACCGGCCCGAGGAATTAGAAGTATATGGGTCGTTTTGACTTATCAAAGTCTTAGTTTTTGCACAGCGACTCCCATGCTTCAGATTCTTAAGCAAAGCTCAGCTCTGTGCTTTGTACTCCGCTTGAGAACGCTTTTTCAACCAATGACAACGCGCGTTATATCCGAAGTTTATTATAATTTTGCACATAACAAAGCAATTTATAGTAACCTATAGGTTTTGTAATAACGGTTGCGGTATTTTGTAATAACGTATGTAATAGGTTTTGAAATGACCAGGGATGTGTTTCGTCGTTATCTCTAGCACACGCCTTTTTCAAAGAAGTCACGTGGATACATAAGAATGTAACTAAGGAAAACTAATCGAAAGCTATGAACGGTATGAACCGCTGGTTGTATTAGTAGTAACCAGGGCCCAGAATCTCGTGAGTAAGTAAGACATCTTTGCAAGAGGTATCACAAAATACCTCAGAGCAACGACATTGAAGGTTAAAGGACTCATTCACATAAGGCCCCACCCAAATAGTATTAACAATGGAAGTTAAATTAAAATTCTCGAGTTAAAAATGCATACAATCAAAACGCATAGTTGGTGGTCCAACCGCTGCATATTCATTCGATCTTTGCATTATCATCCTTGCCCTGTAAATCCGGATATAAAACTGATTCTGCATAACCGGAAACTTTTCATCGAAACCTTTACTTTTTTACTGAGCTCAAAATTTGCTATTTTTCCTACTCCATGTAGCCACAAAAAGATCTTCAATCCTCAAAGAATGAGTTGGGACGCCACGTCATTCATGGATGTAGCAATAACCTCGCACAACATAGAGTTTTTTGAAGCTCAGTAGTGGAGCATCTGGGTTTTGATCCATCATGGGAACCCAGAATTTTCCCTTTGTTCTAAGCTCTTGACAGAAGTTTGTTTTTAAATAATACTAAAGTCAAGATGGGAAGTGTAATTTGAGATAAAACAAAGAAACATTAATGATTTGAATTTCAGCGCCATGAAGTAGATGTAGCGGTACGAGGAAACATCCGAGAAGTTGTTACTCGCCAGAGCTTGTACTTAGAACCGAACACATTGATAGAGCTGTATTTTGTCGGAATTAACGACAGTTCTGATTTTCATCAGAAAAGGTTTGTTTCATAGTTTCAGTTCCAAAGGTGTGCTGTAAAAACAACTCTATCATTTGCTTAGCGAAATATTTATTTTACCGCTGGAAAAACAAAACGAAACCAAACAGAACAAAGAAAGAGAAATGTGGATGAGAAATAAGAGAAAAAGAACAAAGCTTTTTGATACGCATATACATGTTCGTTTTCATATTTAATCATAAAAGAAAGGACTGAAATAGTTAAAAATATTTTATAACTAAATTACTGTTGTATTCAGCCTTCGAAAAAGGGCTTCACAGTAAACGCAGTAATCGCTATTTTGAGTTAAATCATGAATTGATCATATTGATCTCTCCTACCCAAATCTCCATGGACTTCGACCGGTTTTTTGTCAATCTGAGTAATGTAATGATATGCGTTTATTTGCACTCCAGATAATCTGATTCCCTATTTATTCAAATGATGCGAAATCATCTACCCTCCATTAACATTATTTCAGTTTTATACTTTTGCTCTCTTTCGGTGTTTTCGTCAACCCTCGTTGTTCATCATAATTAATCATGAATGACAGCAATGCAACCTCAAAGTTTCCTAAACAACACTCCGACGATCGACTCAAGACCTTAAGCAAATTTCTTCCAATTGCCATAGCAATAGTTTTGGCTAATGGACACGTGTTTGTCATGTTTTACCGATATAGTCGTCTTCGCACCTCTTCTAACTATGTGCTTCTCAGCCTGGCAATTTGTGACTTCAGTACTGGCGTTATCGCTATTCCATACTTCATTGTTTATAATTTTGGCATTTTTCCGTCACAATTAAGTATTGGGGTACACATCTCGCATACATTACTAGCTGCATCAGGTGCTTATCACATACTCTTTATTACTGGGCTCAAGTACATGGCAACGGTCAGTTCACTGAAACACTATTTGGTGACTAAGAGCTTGGTTTTGAAAATTGTGCTCGGCGTTTGGATCACTTCGACTGCTTTTGCTATCATTCCTTTTGTTCTGTATGATGCTGAGGTATCTACGCGTTGGGACGTTATTTATACTTCAGTTTGCTTCGTTGCAGTTTCCCTTTTCCCGTACATATTTATGATTTATGCATACATGGACATGCTCAGTGTAATTACTAAAAGGCAGCGACCATCTTTGATTCAGAATAAAAACTCACGGGGACAGAAGAAAGACGGAAGTGACAGGAAGTGTATCTTGGTTTTCGCAGCCATGGCGATCATATTTGCCTGCTGTTGGTTCGCTTATTTTATCGTCATGCTATTATTCCAAATAGGACTAAAAGATTTGCTTAGCATCATCGAAGCTTTTGTGGTCATTCGATATATCACATCTTTCGCCAACCCTCTTCTCTAGACGTTTTTCAAACGCGACTTCTGGTCCGCCTTTCAGAATCTGTTGCAAAACAAGGAAAACGTCCGTTCTTCTTCTCAAAAAAGTCAAACGGGGTCTCTTAATCTCACGAACCGATTAAGATCCAGATCAAGCATCAGCAACGGAAGGTTGACGACTCTCGAAGAAGAAGGATAAGAACCAAGAATGATTCGCGATAGGAACATGACCTTTAGTGACGAGACATTCCATACAAGTCGTGTTTAACTATTTGCAGGGAATAAAAGAAGAACGCAGACTTGGTACCTCATTTATGAGTCAAGGGTTACTGCTGCATCGCCATTAAGAGCAGTTGTGTGATTGAACTTATACATGACTTTCATATATAATACACGCGCGAGATGGTTTGTTAGTCTCCATTTATACTCAAGAGTAGAGAGAGGCATTGTAAAAGGTTTTCCGCCCAGAAACACAGCACAAACGAATAAAAAAGCTGGACTGAGTCGTTTGAATATATTTAAGTTTATTAGGCCAATCACATTGAAGAAATGACATTGTCGCGGTGAAAACAAGCTTCATCAATAGCAAGCACAAAATTTTTACCATTTATTTTGTGTAATATCATTATCAAGCGATTAATAATTCGATGCAGTATTGACGCTGCTATTCGTAGAAACTGTGTTCAAGAGCGTTCTTCAGATGCATATGGTGTTTGCTGATTCAAGTAACCTACGACGTGTGTCAAAATGAACGTGTTAAAATTAAACATTTAGAATATTTGTAATTTATCGTTACCATGTATATAAAGTATATCCTATGAAAAATGGTTAAATTTTAAGCTCTATAGGGCGCTTTTCGATAAAGAATCGTTGAAGCAAAACCAAAGCCGTTCCGGATTACTCTCGATGCTCAATTAAAACTTTTTTAGAAACACTCTTCTCTCATCTAGAGCTCTTCAAAGCGAGATCGCGTTCAAATTTGCTGCTTTATTGATAAGGAATAATTAACGATATCCACAAGAGGCGATCAATGCCGTCAGCTGGAAATGTGTCAACTAAACCTTTAGCAATTCTAGCCATCATATTTGATTAACGGAAGTCTAGTGCAACAGGAAGCTGTAAGCCATATTTTTTCAGGGTACGACGAAAATTTTATCTAGGATGGAAGATGCCCATGGTTTGAATAGGTAAGTAATTTTTCCAATTTTAAAATGAAATAAAAAAGATAGTTTAAGACATATAATTCATTTTTAGTTTTTCGATACATTGATACAAAAATTAAATTCTAAATTTGAGAGTTCAAAAGAAAATTTACCTTTTCACTTACGTTTCCAAAGATTGCATGTACAATAATTTATATAGGTAAAATATAATTTTTGTTACTGAGCTGAGGCTCCACGATGGGAGGCACTCACCAGTGATAATTTAGCTTTGCCTTTGATTTTCTTCAATTTGGTGGGGTAAAATCTCTAAAACTTTTCATAATTTGTGAAATTTGTCCTACCGATCATTTAAAAGCCGAAAACAATTGGGGTTGCAAGGGTAGTTTCCTCGCTATTTGCAATTTCGTGTTCTCTCCCTCTATCTTAAATTTGGTCTTAGGAATTTTTTTAAAACAGACAGTATGAAGGGCACAAGTATGTTCAACGAACTAGCAAATCTTAGGAGATTCCACCTAAAGGAAACGCGATAAATATTGCTCGAAAGATCCGTATTTGTTTGTTGCGAAAATACGTTATGGAATAGACTTTGCCAAGAATCTATATCTGAGCATGCGTAAACTTTCAATTCTGTCGCCTTTTGGAAATCTTTCCCGCAGTGTTTTCTTTTCGGTTGACCTCTTTTTCAGGCGTAGAAGACCTATGAATATTACGGATGCAGTTGCTGGAAACCCTAGATTCCATGACATAAAAACTGTATTGTGTTACACTGTTTTAACACACCTCCAGAGATAATAATCGTGCGATCGTATGGAGCCGCCCTGTTTGTTTTGCACGTTGACACTTTTATACTTGCGCTATGTTCGCACCCAGTAAAAAAACCCTATGGAGCCTCCTTAAGTGGAATTTCCAACTCTCAGGCGCCAATTATTTCTTCTCTATCGGACATTTATTTCCAGAGCAACTCATTTTCAACGTCCATGAATATTAACTGACTATCATACAAACTTCCCGAAGGCAGAAAGGTCTTGAAAAGTTTTCAAGGTAAGGTAATGAACTCTATTTTTCGTTCTCAGTTTTGATCATGACTTTACAGTTTCAACTGTTACAACCCAACAATGATTAAAACAATATTATCTCGTAATCTAGAAGGTAGCGAATCTTGGGGAAGAAAAACATGAAGTTAATTTATTTCAAAGCAGCATTTATACGCCGAAACCATGATTTTCATATCTGCGATTGAAAAGTTCATGTAGAATTTTGGCACTGAGATTTCAAAGAGTAAGCTAATCATTCCAAAACTGTGTTGAAATTGGTCAAAATTTGCGGTTTGCCAGTGACAAAGCTACGCTTTGCTCCTCTTTTCCAACTGATATCGAAACAGTAAATCATTAGGAAATTAGGAGAAAATTTTCAAACCAAAATCCCAGATTACACCCCGCGGCATTATCAAGATCTATTCACTTCTCAGCAGCCGAAGAGACAAAATTGCGCATCAAGAGTTTAATTTCTTTAATATACCACTCATCGGTATATGGACAGAAATAAACTATTCTTTTGTTTTCTAAATGTTATAAACTAAAAAAAAATAACCTACCTCAACATCGGTAAAAGTGTAGGATATTCATCACACCGCTTCGCAGCTCGGTAAATATCCGCTTCTAGTCACCTCCACCTCGGTAAATGATCGTGAAACAGTGGAGATGATCACTATATAGTTTTTAGAGCGTATTTCTTTAACTTCGTTGGGCAATTTAAGATTTTCTTCACACGTTTTTCAAACGCGACTTTTGTTCCGTCTTTCGGAATCTGTTGCAAACAAGGAAGACGTCCGTTCTTCTTCTCAAAAAGGTCAAACGGGGTCTCTTAATCTCACGATCCGATTAAGATCAAGATCAAGCGTCAACAGCAGAAGAAGAAGGACAAGAGCCAACCTAACCTTTGGTAACGAGACGTTCCATACAATTAGTGTTTAGCGGCTTGCGGGGAATAAAAGAAGAACACAGACTTGGTGCCACATTTACGAGTCAAAGGATCCCGCTGAATCGCCATTAAGAGCGGTTGTGTAATTGAACTGAAACATAACTTTCATTTATTACAAACGCGCGAGGGGGTTTGTCAGTCTCCATTTATACTCAAGGATAGAGAGAGGCATTGTAAAAGGTTTTTCGCCCAGAGACACAGCACAAACAAATAATTAATCGTTCTGTCCGATGTAGTAATGTGTACGTTTGCGTAATTATTTCTTGGATTGTTGTAGTAGTTTTGAAATGATAAGTAGTACTTTTGCGCTTGTGGATTATAAAGGAGAGTAGCAATCGTTAGGTATCAAGAGATAATATTAGATATCATTCACGGAAGTCACAAAAACGTGTCTAGCACATGAAGTGGTGGCTATCAAGTCAAAGAAGAAGTATGCTGCAGAAACCTTTTCCGTATCTCTGCAAATTAGAATCCATTAAGTCATTATTACACTGAAAGTAACCTGGTCTTTGGACAGCTGTCTTTGTACATTGTATGTGCTCAAGAATTCGACGATGAACGCCGCCATTTTGAATCTTGCTGAGCAGCCTAGCCGTTTTTTATCGTGACGTAACTGAGTCTCGCCCCGAATTTTTCTCTGTTTGAATAATTTAAAGATCGAAACTGGACTCTAGTTTCTCTTCAGAAACTTAACTCATGGTGCGCGGTAAATCTTTATGAACACTTTCTAAAAGGGGAGAGAAAAGGCTTTGTCTTTCTAATTCTCCTTTCTTAGCTATTTTTAACGATAATTAAAGTACTGATTTTTTTTTCTGGAAAGAGCATATCAGCAGAAGCTGAGCCAAAAAGGAGAATTAATTGGACAAAAAAGGGAAAGGTACATAAAAGAACTTAATGAAAATGAGAAGGTATCGAAAAACTCTGGATTTTAGTCAATTTTTGAGTCTCGAGATCTCAGCAGTTTTTTTCATTAAAATAGGCCCAGAAGGATGAAGAGCCGTCAAAGAATTAACGAAACTTTATTGAAAACAAGGCAAATATTTCCGTAGTATATTTATTTATGTATTCTTCAGTTAAGGTAGGAAATTTAATTTTTATACGTGTCATTTTAATATTTCTTTTTGTTTTGTTTTAAAATGCGAGGCGATCAATGCCGTCAGCTGAGAAGGAGTCGACTTAACCTTTAATGATTCTAGCCAACATATTTGATTAACGGAGGTCTAGAAAATGCAACAGGAAGCTGAAAGCCACATTTTTTAGGGTACAACGACAATCTAATCCAGGATGGAAGATGCCCATGGTTTGAATTGTAGGTAAATAATTTTTTCTAATTGAAGATGAAATCAGAGATAAGACATGTATTCATTTTCAGTTGGTCGACACTTTTGTACAAAAGGTAAATTGGAAATTTGAGAGTTCAAAAGTTAATTTCGCTTTTCACTAACGGTTCCAAAGATTGTATGTACAAATGATTTACATAGGTGAGATCAACACCAAAATTTTATGAAAAAGATTTGTTAAATGCATTAAAGGTTTGAGTTCATTTTCAAATTTTTGCTGTATACTACAGCAGTTACTGTAAATTAACGATTTTGGTAACAGTTCCTTTTTTCCTATGTAAATGGACAGCGTAGGATGCAAAAAAGGAGTTTTTTCTGTGAGCTTGTACAAGTATGAAGATTGTAGCTTTTTTTCTGAAATGGCTTGAGCAAGAAGCTCATCTTTTGCATTCTGGCGGGAATGCAAAAGATGAGGAACTTTCTTATAATGGTGGGAAAACGAGACTAATGTCTTTATCCGGGAGCATTAATAAGACAAAGTTCTTGTTGCCACCAAAATGTTGGGATTAGGTAAACTTAACTTTCAGTCTCCGGAGGTTTGC